ACCTCCGCCTCCTGGGTTCAGGCAATTCTCCTGCCTCAGCCTCCTGAGTAGATGGGATTACAGGCACGCGCCACCATGCCCAGCTAATTTTTTGTATTTTTAGTAGAGACGGGGTTTCACCATTTTGACCAGGATGGTCTCGATCTCTTGACCTCGTGATCCACCCACCTTAGCCTCCCAAAGTGCTGGGATTACAGGCTTGAGCCACCGCGCCCGGCCGATTTTTTTATATTTAGTAGAGACGTGGTTTTGCCCTGTTGGCCAGGCTGGTCTCGAACTCCTAACCTCAGGTGACCCACCTGCCTTGGCCTTCCAAAGTGCTGGGATTACAGGCATGAGCCACTGCTCTTGGCCTTCATTTCCTTCTGAGTAGGCCCAGACCAGTCTTCATTTAGCACACACTTGGATGAGTAAAGCTGGTCTGCTTTGCAGACCTGATCATCTTCCTTTCTCTTTCCATAGGCGTGCCTAAGCATACTAGTCCCAAAACTTACAGTGTGGGGAGGGTGGGGCAGGGAATTAGGAAGCATCACTTCAGCCTTAAACCTAAGCCATGCAATCTGACTCCATATTTTTGCAGAGGTCTGCTCTAGAGGTTGCTGGGTGCTAGCTCAGCTATAAATAAAATGATCCTTTGTTTTCTACTCCAATTTTTCTTGGATATAGTTCCCTTGGGAAGCCTGAGGAGAGGAGGGATGATTGGCAGAGCAGGATTTGGCTATTTCTGGTCTTCAATTGTAGCAGACTGTGTAGTTGGTCACAATTGTTCACAAATTTTTGCTGCCTTTCTCAGGGAAGGATTATATTTTCCCTACTCCATTGACAGGTGTGGCCAGGTGAACTTGGTCTGGCCAAGAAAATGTGAGCAGACCATGTGTAAGTTCAGGCACAAGTATTAAGAGCCAGTGTGTGGTTCATCACAATCACTTTCTTTCTTCCATGAGAGACCAATATGTTCCAGATAAAGACTGCTCCGGGCTGGGTGCAGTGGCTCACATCTGTAATCCTAACACTTTGTGGAACTGAGGCAGATGGATCACTTGAGGCCAGGAGTTCAAGATCAGCTTGGGTAACATAGTGAGACCTCATCTCTACAAAAAAAGAAAAACATTAGCTGGGCATGGTGGTGCACACCCACAGTCCTACCCTCTCAGGAGGCTAAGGTGGGAGGATTGCTTGAGCCGAGGAGTCGAGGCTGCAGTGAGCTATGATTATACCACTGCACTTTAGCCTGGGCAACAGAGCAAGATCTTCTCTCTGAAAAAAAATTTAAAAATAAAGACAGCTCTATCAGACTGGGTCCTGGCACAAAAAAACCTAGAGGATAGCCATACTGCCCTACTATGTACAAGGATATTTTCAGAAATAAGACTTCATTGTCGTAAGCCCTCTTGGGATCACCTGTCACCAGAGCCTAACCTAGCTTATCCTGACTGATACATTTACCGTATTGTCATCTATATGCAGCACCATTGTTTATCCTCCCAACATCTATTCTTTTTTTTTTTTTTTTTTTTTTTGAGATGGCAGCTCACTCTGTTGCCCAGGCTGGAGTGCAGTGGCGCAATTGCAGCTCACTGTAACCTCCATCTCCTGGGTTCAAGCGATTCTCATGCCTCAGCCTCCTGAGTAGCTGGCATCACAGGCTTGCACTACCACACCCAGGTAATTTTTTTTCATTTTAGTAAAGATGGGATTTCACCATGTTGGCCAGGCTGTTCTCGAACTCCTGACTCAAGTGATATGCCCATCTCGGCCTGGGATTACAGGCATGAGCCACTGTGCCCAGCCATCTATTTTCCTTTCAATTCTGCTAAGAAAACCCCAATTTGTTCCTAGTTCATCCACCTCTCCATGGCCATGTGCTTGGAGGAAGGTGGTCTAATTCTCAGGCCTAAGGAATGAACCATATGAATTTAAGCCATTTATGATATTTTCCTTTTCTTTGCTTGTGACTGGCTTAGACATGCATATATGAGACCAGAAAGTCTGTTTGAAGGATTTCTGAGAAAAGTTTTCCTTGCTGATTAAAAAGAGACACACAGGAAGAAATAATCTCTCTGTTTCTGCTGGACATTGCGTGTGGGTCTGTGTCAGCTGGAATTGTGGCAGCCATTTTGTAGCTATGAGAGGCACTAGCCCAAAGCCGTCAGAATGAAAATATGGAAAGAGTCTGGGTCACTGATGATGAGGTGGGCGGATCACTTGAAGTCAGGAGGTCAAGACCAGCCTGGCCAACATGGTGAAACGCCATCTCTACTAAAAATTTAAAAATTAGCTGGGCATGGGGGCACATTCCTGTAATACCAGCTACTCAGGAGGCTAAGGCAGGAGAGTCACTCAGACTTGGGAGGTGGAGGTTGCAGTGAGCTGAGATCATGCCACTGTACTCTCCAGGCCTGAATGACAGAGTGAGACTCTGTTAAAAAAAAAAAAAAAAAAAAAAGAATCCTAACCTACCTCCAGGTTTGTTATATGAGATAATCCATTTTCCTTTTTAAGACAGTTGAACCTGGAGTGAAGGAAAAAATAATGAGTTTACCCTAGGGACATTGAGGTGATGGCACAACAGCATCCTTTTAAATTCTGAAGCTCAGGAAACATCAAGGTTAAATTTGAATTTGGGAGTCATCTATGGAGAAATATTCCATAAAGTAATATATCTTAGAAAGCAGATCTGTACCCGGAAAAGCTGCCTCTGTGTTTGAGGAACTCTGGTGATATAAAAGAACATTGCACCTACATGTGTCCTAACTGGCTATGCTCCTGTTCCAGGTCTTTGCGTCCCATCCAGAGAAGGGAGACCACAGAGGTGATAGTGAGCTCCTGCTGAGGGAGTCAGAGAAAGCAACATCTGGATCCCATCCTCAGACTCTACTCTCCTCAAGCCTAGCTTTTAGGACCTCAATAGCCATTTGCAGTTAACTTAAACATTCTAGTTTAGTGTGATTGCTTTGAAAATGGGTTACAAGTAACTTTTAAATTTACAGACTTATATCTTTTACTAAATTACTGTCTCAGAAAATCAAGGTTCTGATCATCTTACAGATATCCTCTGGGTGACACTATACTGCAGAAGCCAGGGTCAAAAATATACATATAACATGAAATATCAAGGAAAAGGCCAACGTAGAACATAGAGGTTCTAGTGCCCAAGCTAAGGAAGTGTTAAACAAAAATTAATGGGAGGCCAGTGTTTTGGACTGAGCTTTTCCACTAGGCCACAACAGACCAGACCAAACCAAATCAAGTCCCTCCTGCTAAATGCCACGTAATCAGACTGAAACTTGAGATACATCCCACAACGGACCAGTTTTTCCTGAAAACAGGAGATTCCAGTTTACCTGAGTCATCATAATTAGGAAGTCCCCCCTCTGCTTTAACCCTCACCAAAAAAAGTAACCAGAAGTAGCCTGATGTTAACCAATCAGCAATTCTTCCATTGTTCTGTTTCCTTGTTCCCCTCTTCTAAAACCCACTCTTCTGCCATTGCCCAGTGGAGGCTCTCATTCTGTTTTGTAGAATGGAGGCTACCCCAATTCATGAATCTCAAAAACCAATTCAATCTATAACTACATTTGTTGTAATTTTGTCTTTTGCCAGAAGACAGTTTTGAAAATTACTAATACATAGGACACTACTATTACTTTAAGAAAACTACATTCGTAGGAGCGGTAAGGAGATATTTTGCAACATCAAAGGATTTACTTAAAATTTCTTGAAAAAGAATCTTTGGAATTCCAGTATACAGAACTTTCCTATAGGCTCATCTTAGTGAGTAAATGCACACACCTGCACAGTATTTACAGTGAAGCCCATGTCTTCCCTGAGACAACTTACTCCATTTCTAAGTTGCCATTGCTAGGTCTACCTTGAAACTACTCTTGCTTCCCAAAACCGAAAAAGAAAAAGAAAGGGGGGCGGGGACATATTTTAATGAACTGGTATTGCAAATGCAATCTCCAAAGATGGCTAACTTCAATCCTGCAGTTATTTAGAGAGGAAAATTTGGCTTCTAATACGATTGTCTGCAGGCCCGGTTTGCAATTGGCCAGGACCAAGGACAGTGTTTAAAGATGAGTCAGTTGGATGACCTGGGGAGAGCCAGAGGGGTGAAGGGAAACCACCCAGAAGTCCTAACGGAAAAGGATGCTAGGTCAGGTGTTTTTGTTTTTGTTTTCAATTGTACTTTAACTTCTGGGGTACATGTGCAGTCTTGCAGGATTGTTGCATAGGTATACACATGCCATGGTGGTTTGCTGTCTCCATCTCCCCGTTTTTTATGACCTCGAGGCTGTGAAGGCTCAAACCTGCTGCAAACTAGGAGGGGCTGTCCGTTGTAAGAAAATCTGAGACCCCAGGAAATGCACCTTCAAATTATCTGAATGGGAGGTGGCTAAAACTCAACTTTCCCCTCTCCTACATCCTCCCCCACCCCCGTGGGGCCTCAGGCTAAGATTTCGGCAGAGAAATCCCTTTCCTTCCGACGCTGTAAGGGTCCAACCGGGGGCCCGGCCGTGTGACCTTCGCCAGGCCCCAGAATCTCCTTTAGAACGTCCCCGAGGCCCTCCCTGCCCGGGGCTCAGCAGGCGCCCGCCTGTGTCCCCAGCCCCCAAGCGCTCGGGATCGCCTCTGGGACGCATCCGCCTCCCACTGCGCATCCCCCGCCAGTCGGCTCCGAAACCCGCCGAGCCGCACAGGGCCGCCGCCCCGTCCACGCCCGCTCCGGCCGTCCCACCCCAGTCCGCAGCGCCACGCCCACCGGGGGGTCCGGGGCCTGCTGGGGCTACCGTCCTCTGCCTCGCCTGCGCTCGCCGGCACCTTGCTCCCCGGAACCCCGGAATCCCGGGTCCTTCCCCCGGCCGCCGCAGGCCCCCGGCCCGCCGCCCTTCCCCGGCGCCGCCCGCCAGGGCCGCCTCTGCAGCCGCCGGCGCCCGCCGCCGCGCGCTGATTGGCTGGCGGGGCCGGCGGCGGCGCTGAGTGGCCGGCGGATTCGCCGGGTCAGGGCTGCAGAGGCGCCTGGCGCACCCGCGGGAGCGGAGCCGCGGCGCGCTCGCCCCGGACGCCGGCAGCCCCTCCGCTCGCCCAGCTGAGCGAGCGGCCCGGGGCGCCGAGGGGTCCGCGCCGAGCCGCGCGGGGCGCTGCGCCCTGGCCGCCATGTGCTCCCAGCTCTGGTTCCTGACCGACCGGCGCATCCGCGAGGACTACCCGCAGGTGCAGATCCTGCGCGCCCTCCGGCAGCGCTGCTCCGAGCAGGACGTGCGCTTCCGGGCGGTGCTCATGGACCAGATCGCCGTCACCGTCGTCGGCGGCCACCTCGGTGAGCGAGGCGGGCCCCGGGAGGGCAGGGAGGCGCGCCGGGGTCCGCGAGAGCCGGCCGGGTGGGAGCGCTCGCCGGACCCCCGCAGCCGAGGCTCCTTCGGGCCCGCACGCCGGCCGCTCTCCCTCTGCGAGACTTCTTGGGGTTGGAGAAAGCCGCTAACCTTCGTAGCTTCTTTAACCACCACCACCTGCCCCGAGGCCCACATTTGAGAACGCGATTTAATTTACTTAGGGGACTTCGTTTTGTGAGAAACCCAAATTCACCTGAAGCCGCCCGGGTGTCCTAGGAAAATCTGGCAGTTAAGCCCCAAATTTGCAAATCCTGCTTGCATCAATACCTTCACAGTTTAGACTCTGAGATTTCTAGAAACCCACACCAGTTTTACAAAATTATGATTAAGATGACTTTTAAAAAGTTTTTTAGGAATGTGTAAGCATCAGTACTTAAAAAAACCAGATACGGGGGAAATCTGAGAAAGATTGGAGTCACTTCTGGAGTGTAAAGGGAGAGTGTAGACCTTTGATGGGTTTAACTCATCCTTCTCCCTAGCAGTGTTGAATTCTGATTCCAGAAGAGCCGGGATTTCAGGTACAGACCGTTCTGCCCTCACTGATCACTCCACTGCTGTGTTCAGGAGACTTTTGTGAGTAAGACATGGTTGTCATCTGTGGGTCTGACCTCGAAAGAGTAATTATTTTTTCATATATCCTTAATACAAGGCCTCTCTGATTTAGGAATCCCTGACGCAGAAAACTCCCCCTGGCTTGCTGTCTGAGTGTCTCTGGGGCTTCACTGAAGTCATCCAAAAATTTCAGGGAGTCCAAGACTCAAAAGGATTTGTGCCCAGTTCAGGGTGCATCTTGGGATACTGTTGGCATTATTCCAACCATTATTTCTGGTTAAATAAGCTCGTAATTTGTTACTTTGCTTTGGCAGGGAAAGGAATTCCAAATTCGGAAGAGACTACTTACAAGTGAGATTTTGAATATGACCTGTTTCTGAGTGGAATATATCTGTTATAGATTTTTCATCCGTAAGTTTATCGAGTCCCTTATACTTAATATCAGATTGTATATCTTGTTGGAGAAATATGCCATAAATATTAGGTACCTTACATTTAATCTACAACCAATGTCTTTCAGATTTACTAAAAAAAACTCTCACAGTTAATGTAGAACTAGATTTCTAAACAGGGAATCTGCAGATGTGGATTCTTATTACAGCTTTACAGTTAAGTATTTTGGCTTTGCTTTGGGCAAGCCAGTTTATGTCTTTGAATCTCAGGATTATCATTTATGGAAACTAAGGGTTAAGGTTCAGGTTCCTCTAGCTTTAAATGTATGTGCTTCAATATCATATTTAAATTGTATAATCTGTTGTATTTTACCGACCTAGATTAAGTAACATGTACATCTTTCTATCCAGGATGAGCTTTTAGCTTATTTTACAGCTTGTAAAGATGTCTTTTTTGAGATACAGTAACCAAATTTCACATCATGTTCCTGTGGTAGGACCATCACAAATTTTGTAAGAGTAAGAAAATGCTCTGTATCTAAAACCCCATTTTAAAGAATCAGCCCTAGAAAAAGATAAAATTAAATGCTAGTGCCATAGGAAACATTCAGACCCTTTTGTTTAATGTCTTAAATATTAATGGAATTCATGTGGAAAATTCCTTAATCTATCTACAAACGAGGAGTTTGTTCCTTTTAACCACAAGAAAATCTACACAGCTGTTTGCCTGGTAGATGGAGAAATTGAAGACAGGTATTTTTTGGATGCAGTTTTAACTTTTGTTAATTCTGAGGTAGCTCACACAAATCACAGCACATAGAACAAAACTAATAGATCACCAATTCTGCTGTCCAAAGCTGTCAAAAGATTGGTTATGGAAGCAGAGTAATTAAAGCACAAGTGAGTCCCATGAGAATGACCTTGTTGGCTTTGTTCAGTGCTATAATAGTGGCTAGAATAGTGCCTTGCGCATAGTAGGCTCTCAATACATATTTTTTAATGAATCAGGATATGATCTATGTTTCCCAGTTTCTTCTGTAGTCAGACTATCGAAAACCCTTGACAATTTGCTAAGCCAACGTACTTCTCTGGGGGAAAAAAAAAAAACCCTCAGAATTCACTTGCTTTGAAATACAGAAATACGTAGTTATGATACTGATATTATTTACTATTTGAGAATTACAGAATGAGAACTGGGAAGGATTTTCAGATCCTCCATTCTAATTCCTTTATTTTACAAAGAAGAACCTGAAGCTCAAAGAGGTGAAGTGACTTCCTCAATGCCATCCAGGTAGTTGGCGACAAACCCAAAGTTAAAAAACCGGATTGCCTCATTTCTAGCCCAGTGATATGGAAGAAGCTTCCTTTCGGACATCTGTAGCCTATAGTATCTTTCTCAGTAGATGTGGAATTGAACTGACTTGAATTACATTGAGGCTAGACAGTGACTTTGTCATGTAATTTTATAGTTTAGGAAATTTAGGTGTCACCTTTACAAAGCCATTGTGCCTTCACTCCTTTCTATTGCTTCTTTATGTTAGTGTCGAAATATGATGATGGAGTTGATTGGGGAAGGTAGGTATGGGCAGTGCCTCTGCCAATTGCTAAAATTCATTCCTGAGTTTTTCTCTCTGGAGGCTAGTGGGAGCCCAAATCCAGGGCTTAGCGTTTCAGTTTCATCTAGAAATAGGATTCAGACAAGAGATGATAAGTTTTGAATTTAAAGATAGCAGGTACTGTATTTTAAACAAGATTATTCATGTAAATGGAAAATGCTATACAAATGCAAAGTTTCATGATTATTATTTTTAATCTAGTAATCTGAGTGGGGAAACAGCAGGGAGAGGAAAATGATCTTTAGGTGACTGAAGCAATCCTGTAGAAAACAGCCCCCCTTCACTTTCTGCTGGGTGTAACATTATATGAAAATCATATCCACCTCTGTTTCCTTTTTAGAAACTGCAAGTTCTTTATTTATTAAATAAATATGTACTAAATATTCTCAACCCTAGGGATAAAGTGATGGATGTGACACCAGAATGTACATAATAATAAGGGTCATAGCAATATATGTATATATATGGTGCTTACTCTGTGCTGGGCATAGATTTAGCTGCTTTTTACCTATTAGCTCTTAAATGACAATAAGGAAATGTGGGAATATAGCACTGGCTTGGAGTTAGGACCAATACGCAATAATTCTGGTCTAAACATGTCTCCTCTCTTCCACTCTATCCCTTACATCAGTTTACACTGATTTCACTATGCCCCTCTGTGACTCCACACCTTGCACTAAAATTCCCTCTGCCTTGGATGCCCACTGTTCCCTCCCACATGGTTAACCTCTATTCATCCTTCAAATTCAGCACAGGTCACTCATCTCTATAAAGACTTCTTGAGCTCCTTACTCAGTCCCCAACTAGTCCCTGTCTTTCCTCTGCTTCCAGATAGCTTTATCCATACCTTTTAAAATAGCACTCATCATATTTTGTTATAATTTGTCTATTTATACAATTTATATCCCTCCTCCTCCTGAAGAACTAGGATTCCTCAAATGTATGCTTCATAACTAGTACATAGTAGGCATTCAGTTAATGTTTGTTGGATGACTAAATGAAGTTTCTTAAAAGCTAATTTGAAGTATGTGAGACTTTTACTGCAATGAGCTGAGGAGCTTCTGTTTCGGGGAGATCATGAGGAGATGTGTAAATGAGGACAGATTCACTAGGGAGAATTAAGTTCTTTGCCCACCCACAGGTCTGTTTGATTAATTGGCTCAAGAAACAAGTATAATCACAAACTCAGGGACAAATACCCACCAAGACATATAAAATGAGTCTGACCTGGAAATGAGGTTGTGTTAGTGTTTGTCTCTTAGGAGCAGGATGATTCAGCATTCCTTCCCTTACATTCAGAGCTAAAACATTGGTGGCTGAATCACAAATTCTAGGTCAGGTTCTTTAAATCAAGGTGTTCTGGGATCCTTTTACTTGGTTCTTTGTATTACTCAGGTGAGTCAGATTTACAAGGGTTGGAAAGGGGTGGATTCTGACTAGATTGGTATAAGTAAATGGTCTTACTTCAGACCACTAAAAGGCAGCAGAAGGCTCACAGAGAATAAATGGACTCCCATCACTCTGCAAGAAGACATTGGCAGGAAAGAGTGCCATGCTAACTTTTGTGCAGAAAACTTCATCTTTAACTTCAGTTCCCACTAAAGGCTTGTGCCTGACATCTTATAATCCAAGTGATACCACTGTGCAACACTTGTGGAAAGAAAGGTCAGGGAATCAATGGAAGCACCTACCACGTATTTCCAAATGGACGTGAGTGCTGCATGGATCTGCTTCTTTGGGTCCACATTTATGTAGGCTGACCCAAGGGCTGAGGGTGGGATGGATGTTTATGTTTCTAAAAGGAGTGTTTAGGGACACCCCATGAACTGTTTTAGGAAGAGTTTTAGAACCAGTAAAAGAAATTATTCATGGATCTCAAAGCTTTTCTCCTAGATTTTCTTTTTTTTTTCCTTTTGAGATGGAGTCTCATTCTGTCACCCAGGCTGGAGTGAAGTGGCGCAATCTCAGCTTACTGCAACATCTGCCTCCCGGGTTTATGCAATTCTGCCTCAGCCTCTCGGGTAGGTGGGTAACTGGCATGTGTCACCACACCTGGCTAATTTTTAGTAGAGATGAAATTTCACCATGTTGGCCAGGCTGGTCTCTAACTCCTGACCTCAGGTGGTCTTCCCACCTCGGCCTTCCAAAATGCTGGGGTTATAGGCGTGAGTCACCACGCCCGGCCCCTACATAGTCCTAGATTTCTGAACCACATGTTGCTGCTACCAGAACCCTTCCACCAAATTTGTTGGGCCTGCTTGGTGGAAGGGGGTATAGCCATCACTCAGAGATGTTTGTGTCATCTCTACCCATCTATACCTCCTTGCCACTTCCCTCACTAGTAGGGAGGAAATACATTAACATAAA